GGATGGGTATGGGTGATGATGAGGAGGATGCGCGAAGACGACATATGAGGATGAGGGATCCGGATAATGAGGATAGGAAGGTTGGATCACAAAGACGGAGACGGATACTATGAGGCATTTTGAAGAGGTGCAGGAAGCATAACAAGAGGAGGAGGAGGAGGAGGAGGAGGACGAGGAGGAGGAGGAGGAGGAAGAGGATAGCGACGGAGGACGGACGAGGAGGAGGACGGAGCAGGAGAACGGAGGAGGAGGTTAGGGACGGAGGACGGACGAGGAGGAGGACGGAGCAGGAGGACGGAGGAGGAGGAGGAGGAGGAGGACCAGGGGAAGGAGGAGGTCAGAGGTGGGATAGAGGAGGTGAGGTCTGCGATGGTGACACGTCTGATGTGACTCTCTCCCTCCCCCTCCCATCCGCCCGGGAGAGTTTCTTCTGCCCCCTGGACCCCTACCTTGCGTGCACTGACGGGCACTACGGCCAGGACTTTTGCGGCAGGTAAGTTTTTTTCTGTTTGTGAATTGATATGCAGCCTGCGGATCATCCCCCCTATGGCCATGGAACAGAACAGATGGGACCAGGAATTGGGAAAAGGATGGAGATGATGAAGAAGAGGACTAGAAGGACGACTCGGGAAGCATCCTCAGCTTACCATCGTAGGCTCCCTCTCCTCTCCTCGTCCCTCCTCCTCCCCTCCCCTCTTCACCATGGAATCGAACATTTTGCCTCCCCTCCTTTTTTCAATTCCTTCGTCTGCATCACCCTCTCATTCTTCGACGCGTCGTCCTCTCATCCTTCGCCGTTCTCGTTTCCCTCTTCGCCGTCCCCTCCTAGCCGTCCCCTCTTAGTCATTCTCACCTAGTCTCTCTCCTCGTCTTTCTCTCCTTGTCCCCCCCATCTCTTCGTTGTCCTCATTCTGCTTCGTCTACTTTGTCGTCCCCTCCTCTCCCTTCTCTTCCTCCCTCCCCCCTCTCCCTCCGCCAGAGAGCAAGAGAGAGAGAGAACTATAGAAAGAAGCACGAAGAAAGAACGGAAGAGAGAGGGAGAGGGAGAGAGAGAGTGCGAGGGAGAGGGAGAGAGGGAGAGGGAGAGAGGGAGAGAGGACGAGAGGGAGAGAGGGAGAGAGAGGGAGAGGCAGAGAGACGGGGAGAGCGCCAGGCGCCCAGGCAGTAGGTTCTCGGGTGGCGTCGGTGGTGCGGCCTCCGCCCTGGTGCGTGGCGCGAGTGGCAAGGCACCCGCCCCGGTGCCCTCCACCTCGGATTTGCCAGGTTGGAATCAAGTCCCTATCCCTCTGTTTGGCCTCGCCTCGCCTCGACGCCGATCTGAAGGGTCCCGGGCACATCCCTCAGGCAGTCCTCGCTTTCTGATCGCCCGCCTTCGGGACAGGGACAAGTTCGAGCCCGGCTACTGAAGCCGCCCCCCCCCCGCTGCGGAGCGCCGAGTGCCGAATCCCACTGGGTGCCTCTTCCCCCGTCCCTGGCCTCTCCCTCCGCCTGCTCCTCCCGCCCCCGCCCTCTTTCCTCCCCCCTTTGATTGGAAGCGGGTCCTGGACCCCCGGGGGCCTCCCCCAGGATCCTCTCTGCATCCAGAGTCGTTCTCGGACGGTCCCCGGGGCCGGCGGAGGGCCCCAGAAGCCCGAAGGTTTCGGGGGTGGCATAGAGTGGGGTGATGACTAGGGGGGGCGGGGATATCATGGCGGGGGCCATGATATTTCTCAAGATTTCATGGCGCCTCTTCTCATTCCATCACGTCCCTGGTCCCCCCGCTGGGCCGCGCACATGCCGCCGGCCATGATTTGCACCCCCCCCCCCTCTTGCACACCCCCCTCTTGGCCGCTCCCGAAAAGCGGCGAAGACTCCATGACCCGGCGCTCCCTCCTTCTCTCTCTCCCCCCCCCTCCTGGGGGCAAGCCTGCCGGCGCGGCAGAGGTCCGAGAGGGGGCGCCGGTCGCGTGCCAGCGGCGACGCGGGGGGGGGACTGGTGCGGCGCGCCCCCCCCGGTCAGGAGTGGGGAGGGCAGCTTGGGCAGTCTGAGCGGGGGGGGGGAGCGACGGGGAGGGGGACACGGGCTCGAGGGGAGGGGAAGTGCATCGACCTCCAACGCCCACTCGTCGCTGACAGGAGACTGGTAGCCCACCCCGCTCAAGAGCCTGCGGCTTCGCACTCGGGGGCATGTCGCCGATTGGTCGGTGATGTAGCCCCGATTCCACATCAATATCTCCTCCACCTCACGAGAGCCAGCCCCCTCCTCCTCCTCCTCCTCCTCCTCCTCCTCCTCCTCTTCTTATTCCTCCTCCTCCTCCTCCTCCTTCTGCTCCTCCTCCTTCTCCTCCTCCTCCGTCCTCCTGCTCCTCCTCCTCCTCCTCCTCCTCCCCCTCCTCCTCCTCCTCCTCCTCCTCCGTCCTCCTCCTCCTCCTCCTTCCCCTCCTCCTCCTCCTCCTCCTCCTCTTCTCCTCCTCCTCCTCCTCCTCCTCCTCCTCCTCCTCATCCTCCTCGTATTGTTCCCCTGCGCTTCCCCCTACGGCCCAGCTCGATCCGCCCCGAAGGAGGGCGACTGGCAGCACAAGGCCCGCCCCCTCGCGCCGCCGCGCCCGCGGGGGAGGAGGGGGGGTGCTCCTCCTCCTCCTCCCACTCCTCCTCCTGCTCCTCCTCATCCTCCTCCTCCTTCTCCTCCTCCTCCTCCTCCTCCTCCTCCTTCTCCCTCCCCTCCTCCTCCTCCTCCTCCTCCTCCTCCTCCTCCTCCTCCTCCCCCTCCTCCTCCTCCTCCTCCTCCTCCTCCTCCTCCGCCTCCTCTTCCGACGGAACGGAGGAAGAGGAGAGAGGCTCGGGGAGGAATCGAGGGAGGGAGGCTGAAGTGGCGCGTAACGCCGCCCAGACGGCGCTGGCCGCCGCGTCGGGGAGCGTGTCGCTCCGAGCGCCGGGCTGGACTGCCGGTGCGCAGCAGTGGCGGCGGAACGACGCGCGCGGCAGCTGAGTGGAGGCAGTGCCCAGCCTAACAGGAAGTGTTGGTGGGACTGACAGTGGCTGTGCTCGAAGGAGGGAGGGAGGGAGGGAGGGAGGCAGGGAGGCAGGGAGGGAAGGAGGTAGGGACGGAGGGAGGGAGGGAGAGAAGGAAGGAAGGAGGGAGGGAGGGAGGGATGAGGGAGGCAGGGAGGCAGGGAGGGAAGGAGGTAGGGACGGAGGGAGGGAGGGAGAGAAGGAAGGAAGGAGGGAGGGAGGGAAGGAAGGGAAGGAGGAAGGAGGAGGAGGAGGAGAAGGAGGAGGAGCAGGAGAAGGAGGGGGAGGAGGAGGAGGAGGAGGAAGAGGAGGAGGAGGAGGAGGAGGAGGAGGAGGAGGAGGAGGAGGAGGAGGATTGGGAGGAGGAGGAGGATGAGGAGGGAGTTTCTTGCGATTCTGCCATCACAGGGGGATGCACATTGAGCCTGGGAGGCGTATCAGGCGATGCTGATATGAACACTTCCAGCGACCTTGGGTCGTATCGAACGAGTGCGGAGAGCATCACGAAGCAGCACTGCATGATAATGAGGTTCACGGCGGCATCCGTAAAGCTGCATATATGAGGTGTTGTCAATCGACATGGCGTCCCCGCTGTGGACAGGTGGCTTCGAAGGGCGTCCCTCTGTCTCCGTCTCCGTCTCCCTCAACGAGGCCACGATGTGACCGAGGGACGGCCGGCGGACCATTCAAGAATCTAATTGGGGGGAAAGTAGACGAAAGGACGGCGGCGAGGAGGAGCGCGCGCTCCCGGGGAGACACCTGGGAGCCAGCGGAGCAGGAGGGGAGGAACCTGGAGGTGGCCCACCCAAGGGGGGGGGAGGAGGAGGAGGCGGAGGCGGGGGCGGAGGAGGAGGAGGAGGAGGAGGAGGAGGAGGAGGAGGCGGAGGCGGAGGCGGAGGCGGAGGCGGAGGAGGAGGAGGAGGAGGAGGAGGAGGCGGAGGCGGGGGCGGAGGAGGAGGAGGAGGAGGAGGCAGAGGCGGAGGCGGAGGAGGCGCAGGCGGAGGCGGAGGCGGAGGAGAAGGAGGAGGAGGAGGAAGAAGAGGAAGAAGAAGCATCAGTAAAATAATAATAATAACAATACTAGTAATAATCATAACATAATATTTTATCAATAATACCAATAATACTAACACTAATAAGACATATAATGCGAATAGAACAAGAAGAAGACGAATCAGACCAAGAATACGAATAATAATACGAAGGCGAATCATAATTTTCATGATAATAATACTAGTATTAATAGTAAGACGAAAAAGACGAAGGAGACGAACAATAAAAATAATAATCCGAAGAAGAAGACGAGGAGGAGGAGGAGAAGGAGGAGGAGGAGGACAAAGGATGGGGGGTTGTAGGCGAGGCTGGGAGTTGGTCTGTTGCGGAGGAGTTGGGCGCAGACCCAGGCTGCGTCCGTTTGGGCACGCACGGGGCACAGCGAGAGGTCCTTCCCCTGGGTGGCGGAGCTCTCAGCAGCCAGGTCGTGCCGCTTGGTCCGCAGGTAGTGGCCGCGTGACCAGACTCCAGCGGCCCCCTCACGAGCGCCGAGCGCATCCGTATTCACGCGCTCGCGGTCTGCATTTTTGGGGCGCGGTCCCGCGGATACGCGTTCGGACGGATACGCTGCGCGCGGGGCTCTCCGCGAGAAAATGCCCGGCATCCGTGCGGTCGCGGTCCAGGGGCCCGGCCCACGAGGCCGTGGAGACGGACTTGGGGGTGCTTGTCCCTCTCCTCCTCCCCCTCTCTCTGCAAGCCCTTCCCCCCCTCGCCCCCTGCCTCGCTCCCCCCTCCTCTCCTCCCCCCTCCTGCCGCCGCCTCGCGCCCCGTGGCAATCCTCCCTGCTCTGGATACCTCCCCCTCTCCCGCTCGCCCCTCAGTCCCCTCCCCTCCTCTCCCTCTCCCCCCCCCCAGCTCCCCCTGCCCCCTTCCCCTCCCCTCTTCCCCCTCCCCACCCCCTTTCTCCCTTCCTGGAGAGGCTCGCGTGTACGTGGTGTCCCTCGCCGAGAAGGACAGTTCCACGCTGGACGCTTTCGCCGCCCACTTGACCAACGACCGCGCCCTGCCTGGCCTCCTGCAGAGGGCCAGGCGGCGGCCAGCCAGAGTCCCCCCCCCGCACCACCCCACGTCACGGAGACGTCTTCCATGAGGAGCGAGGAGCGTGCAGGAGAGAGGGGGGGGGAGCAGGAGAGGGGTAACATGAGGTTTCGGTACAGGAGCTGGGAGAAGGGTCAGGAGGAGGAGGAGGAGGAGGAGGAGGAGGAGGAGGAGGTGGTGGATGAGGCACGAGAAGGAGGCGGAGGCGGAGGGGGTGGATTTGGAGGAGGAGGAGGCCAACTAGTGAGGAGGGAGGGATGAGTGAGGGCGCCACGCACCAGTGATCAGGATGAGCAACACGTACTCGACGCGGAGATCTCCACATGTGCATATTAGGCGGTCGTTCTACAGTTGATCTCGAGATTTTGTATATAGTTATATATATATATATGTATATATATATATATATATAGAATAAGGGGCGTGCGATTGTGGGCGAGAGAAAAATGAGCTGGAGGCGGTGGTGCCGCGGGCGTGGATGAGGAGGTTAAGGATCAGGAGGGCGATTCTTGCGAGGGTGAGGATCAGGAGAGTGAGGGCCCTTCTCCTCCTCCCCCTTCTGCTCTTCTTCCACGTACTCCAACTCTCCTCCTCTTCCTCAACTCCTGTTCCTTGTAAATTAGTTTTCCCTGTCGCACCCCGAGGCCAGTTTTTAGGGTGGGCCGGGCGTTTCGCCTGAGATTTCCACAACATGCATGATTTTGTAACTTCAACATTGGCAGCCTTTTTCACATATGGAGGGCGGGTGGTTTTCAAACTGTGGCTCTCGCCGTAGTGCCGCGCACAGTTGTTTTCAACATTTGCAACAGCTCCACGGATTCTCTCGATCTTTAAACTGTGGCTCTCGGTTTGGCGCCGCTAGCGCCGCGCACATCCGTCTGAAACTTCGCAAGATCTTCGCGGATTGAGGATCACCCGTTTGCAAAATGTGGTTCTCGCCTTAGCGCCGCACACATTGTTTGAAACATTTGTAAGGGCTTCACGGATTGAGGGCGGTTCCTTGTCAAACTCTGATTCTGGATTTAGCGCCGCGCACATCCTTGTTGATTTGTTTCAAGTGTTCCACAGTTTCCCATGACCAACGTGCAAGAAATTGTGTTTTGGAAGGATTCAGCATTTTGGTGGTGCAACTGTTACGTTGATTCGCGGTGCTGGCATCCTAAGAATGGCGTTCTGGCACGATCCAGGATCGGCAAGACGCATCAGTCAGGTTGATCCGTGGCGTTGGAATCCCTAGAACAATATGTATTGACATGCTTTGGGTCTTCAAACGTTGTCTTCCAACGAGGCAGTTCCCTCAATGGAACTGAACAGTTGTAGGCGCCTGAAGAGGGAGCTTGGAGGGAGGGTGTATTCCAACACGGTTGATAGCACTTTGGTTTGCACCAGTCCTCCTCCTCCTCCTCCTTCTATTCCCCCTCCTCCCTTCTCCTCGTCCTCCTCCTCCCTCTCCCCCTCCCCCTCCTTCTCCTCCTCCTCCTTTCGCTTTAACGTTTGACCACCATGAGCTATGTAGCTGTTGCGCTCGTGACAAAAATGGTGCAGGTCCAAGCCGATTTGACGTAGAGGCACATGCAGGCCTCCCGGCAGGCGCCGCAGCAGTAGAAACCTAAAAGTGCGGCGAAGAAAAGTAAACAGAGTAGGCGCGTGCCAGGTGGTAGAGCTCGGCTATCCTGAGTAGTAACCCGTCAACGTGTTGAATGTAGGATGGCCGAGTAAGAGCAAGGTTGCGTAGATGGCCTACAAGAGGCTGTCAGGAAAGGTAAGTGGCAGGCTGCTGCGTTAAAAAAGAAAGGCAGGCTGGGCAGTGGCCGCAAGATGTGGGGTGTTCCTTGCCTTGTGGGTCAAGGATAGCAGGCTGCTGCTGTGTAAAAAGTGCAGGCTGGGCTGTGTATTCCCCGATCACAGCTTGCCTCTGTAGGGGTTCCTGGTGGAAAACACATTTCCTTTAGAAGTCTCGACAGCCTCTTTGGCGGTCCACAGTGAGCCCAAGGAGGTTCCAAGACCGCTTACGAGGCCCCAATAACGGCCCAAGAGAGCTTCAAGGAGGTGCCAAAAAGGGTCGTGGGGCACTTGGGGGATGCGGTTCCAAACATACGAAAGAGTGTGTTCTACCGCTGCTGGCGGCAAACCGGGGGGGGGGTCACTGGGGGTTCCCAACCCGTCCCCCCCCCCTCGAAAACCGGGGGGGGTCACTACCAGTTCGAACCCCTCCCCCCCCCCAGTCCAGCATGAAAAGGGGGGACTACCAGTTCGAACCCCCCCTTCGAAAACTCGGTAGGGTCACTACCGGTTCGAACCCCCCCCCTTCGAAAACCGAGGGGGGTCACTACCGGTTCGAACTCTCCCATCCCCCCCCCTCCCTTCGCCGCCGGCAAGCGATTCCCGCTTCTCGGGACAGTTGCACAATTGAGGTGA